TATGCATTCGTTTTTTTTTTTTTTTTTAAAACGATAGGAATCACATATATTCACAACATAAAAACAAGATTAGAGAACAGTTACTCAGCCGAATAAAACAGCCAGCGACTGAATAAGCTGAATAGCTGACCCTAGTAGGAAGGACTACACGTACAAGCAGCTTAGAGTCAACTACAACACAAAACACAAACTAAAAAACATTCCCAACAGGGAAAAATACTATGCATTCTTTTAATTTTAAATATATGTGGAAATAATAAACTAATAAAAAAAAAGGATGTACGAACCGGTTTTTGACCGGTCCAACCAGTCAAAGATCGATTCTTGACCGGTTCATTGGTAGCGGTTTTTTTTCAAGGTCACACTGAACAATTGACTGGTTCGATCTGACCAGTCGGACTGGACAACTCAATTAAAATTTTGGAACCATTTACTTCTTTGTTTATTTTATTTATTTCTCAACCGTGTTTAGAGTAAAAATAAAATGGGCCATTTAGATAAAATATAAATATAGTTATATTTACTCTTTTATGTTTGGGAAAAAAAAAAATTTAACCTCCCAAACTATGCCGATTTTTAGAGTTTGTCTTATGAACTCTTTTTCTTGACAATTTGCTCTCATAGTAATCGAAACTAACAATTTATCTCGTCGATTGAGAACCCTAATATTGCACAAAAATTTTTTAACGATAAATTTAAATTGGTCTTTAAAATTGATTTAGGGATTTTAAAGCCCATGGCGAGACGAACAAAACGAGGTATAGTTTGCCGATTTCTGAAAATTAATACTTCTGTAATCGACCGATGAAGATAGTAGGAGCACGTGTGTATCGAAAAAATTTCAATTCACGATTTTTGATAATCAAGATATCCAATTTTTTATTGGGATGTATCATCTGAAGGCTTTGAAGACGAGTTTTCTAAGGAAGTAAATCTTATGAAAATTCAACGGTCGGATTTTTGTTAGTAGCCTAAAAAAAAGCAAACTATTGATTGGTGGTTTTCTAACTATTGATCAAAATCCGATAGTTGAATTTTTATAAGATTTACCTCGTTATAAAATTCGTCTTCCAAGCTTTCAAATTACACCTCTCAATCAAAAATCGGATATCGTTATTATCATAAAACTTAAATTGAAATTTTTTCTATATACATGTGCTCTTACTATCTTCGTCGATCAGTTACAGAGGCATCAATTTTCAGAAATAGACAAATTATACCTCATTTTGTTCGTCTCGCCATGAGCTTTAAAATTCTTAAATCAATTTTAAAGACCAATTTAAAATTTATCGTTAATTGAGTTAAAAACTTTTTGTGCCATATTAGGGTTTCAATCGAGGAGGCAAAATGTTAGTTTCAATTATTATGGGAAACAAATTGTCAAGAAAAAAAGCTCGTAAGGCAACCTCTAAAAATCGGCATAGTTTGGGAGGTTAAAAAAAATTATCTTTATGTTTTTTCTTCTTAATGTAACTATTAAATTTTTAAAATAAGGGGTAATTTTTATGAAAGGTCATCTATATTGATCTAATAAGTATTAAACTTATATATTATATTTTCAATTTAAATAAGTGAGCATCTTTATAAAAGGTCATTGTTCTAGTAACTATTAAGCTTAATCAATTCGGGAAATGCTCCCCTACCCACGGTGATCACATGTTAATATGTCAACCGCTTATGTGGTATGCATACATTGGTGATGAATTTTTTTTAATATATTAACATGACCAATGTGTGCATGCCACGTAAGCGGTGAACATATTAACATGTGCCCACCGTGGGTAGGGGAGCATTTCCGTAATCAATTATATTCATAATGTAATTCATAAATAATATAATAAGATGGGTTGCAAGATTATGAATTTATTTATATTTTAGTTATTTAATTAAATAAATTTGAACTTCCCCAGAATTGAGTATGATATAAATTTCACAATTGAAGGACTAACATATTTATAGTAATGTAGTCAACTATAATTACCTACATCTTTTGAGCATATGAAAATCTACAAATTTAATCATTGACCTAATTAGTAGTAACTGTTAACCTTCAATTTGGCTAAATTCCGATCAAATCAAGTTTATGACTAATGTCCACTTTTCTATATGGCACGGGCGACATTGCATTTGGAAATTACAATTAAAAGACATGATTATAAAGTGCTGGAAATCATTAAAATATTACAAATTCTTTAGAAATACCAAAGTTTTCAAGTAATAATGTCACAAGGTATACTAGAAATATCACAATTTCATTCAGAAACATCTCATGCTTAAAAAAAATCATATGAAATTATTCAAGTCAATAATAGTAAAATTGTCATAATTTCATCACAGCACAATTTGAATCATAGTGTTACACGAAGAATAAAGATAATACAAATTGCATTACAAAACATCATCTGTTTACAGCTCCCACATTGATTTGAGCTTGCTCAATATAATCAGATAAAAAATTCTTGTCATTTTTTCACAAACTTCAATCTCAGATGGATCATTGTTGAGAGAGAGAGAGAGAGAGAGAGAGAGAGAGAGTTTATGTAAANAATTAAAAAAAAAAACCCAAGAAAATTGCACCAACAAACTTGATTTTATACAAGAAACAAACAAGTTTCAACATGAACTTTTCACCCCAATCAAATACTCAATAATGTCATTAATGGACTCATAGTTAAAGAAAGAAGCAAGATTTGTATTTTTTCTGCTTCTTCAGCTTCGGAGGCCGCAAAACAACCTTTATAGCGGCATCAAAAACAGCCTTCACATTCTGCATCGAGAAATTTACATATATACATTCATATACATCTTTCGAAAATACTCGAGTGTTTGAACTTTTTAGACCATCATATAAAAATGAATATTTATCAGCTTAGTTCTCACCTGTTGTGTCTTAGCACTGCACTCAACATAGGCCACTGCACCTATTTGCCTCTTCAGCTCCTCACCCTGAAAAACAAGAATTTAGAATACTACAAAAATTTTAACTCCTTTGTTTATAGTATACACGACAAATTATTCCTCGCCCATGAAATTTTTATTTATTATATATATATATATATATATATATATTTTTTATTTTTTTCACATATTCGACTAGGATTATATACCTGCTCTGTGGAAATAATGCATGCCCCTGGATAATCCTTCTTGAACTGCCTATCCTCTCTTAAATCTGCAGCACGTAGGATTATGACTTTGCCAACTCAATAAATAAATAAAGTGGTTTTCGGGTTTTACTAAAGATTAGCTTAAATTCGAGAGTCCATTTTAAGTGTTAGCTGAATAATTCTGTATATAAAACTTGAGGATCATTATACGTTTGAATTAGACTTGTGACCAACATAATTACAGTCGTTAGCTCAAAACAACATGCATCTATATTTAATAGTTAATCAACTCAAAGAGATAATACTAAGAGGGCATAAGGAGAGAACTTGAAAAGAAAGCAAAGTGTGACATTATATGACAAACCAAATAATTCTTAAAAATGATGAAAATCATGTGAAATCAAGAAACACCTTACCCAATTTTGTCCCCACAAGAACAATGGGCACTGATGGAGCATAATGTCGTAGTTCCGGGACCCACTGTTCCAATAAAAACAACGAAGCAAAAGGTGAAAGAAAAGATTATGCTGCATTTTTTAAAGAAAAAAGCACATTTTCAAGAATATTTATTTGTAAGATAAACAAACCTTAAGGTGTATGTAGTTTAACTGTTTAAGTGAAACCTTGTGAATAGTTTTTGTAATCTTCCCAATGAGGTAATGAGTACAAGATGTTAACCCAAAAACTTCATAATTTAATTTTACTCGATTATGTATTTCTACTTAATCGACTACCCACTTCATCTTTCACTATTTTATTTTTTTTTTTCTACTAGAAAACATCTATCGAAACTAGCAAAGTAGCTTACTTTTTTTGAAATGTTCTCAAAGCTTGGCTTGCTTATGAGAGAGAATGCTAGAATGAAAACATCGGCACCTCTATAGCTAAGAGGCCTCAATCTGTTATAGTCTTCTTGGCCTGCAGAAAAATTGTTTTCAAATCTGGAAAGGGAAATTTTTCATCAAGCATTTTAACTTTTAGGACTAATTTAATGATTTTTGGTCAGTAAGTGAATACATAATAATTTGACGTATTTTGTAGCCTACTTGCAAAAGACTTTCAAGATAATGCCTCATTTAGGATCATGTATGTGGCAATTGAGTTAGAAGGATGTGATTTAATAGTATACCAAAAATGTAACTTCATATAAGTAGAGAAATCAAATGGATTTCAAGGTAAAGAATACTATTCATTGTCAAGAAAAGGAACATAATTGAGAACGAACAACATGATAAAGTAAAATGTAT